TGCTGGCCAGAGAAGATTATAACAACTCCACAGTTGAGATTATTCCCCTCTGCACATCAGTAACAAGTTATTTTACAAAAAACACCTGGAAAAGAAGCATTTCATCTCGCATAAATGAGGTTTTTATAATCCCATTTGCCTTCTCTCTTCATGCAAATCTGTGCTGATCTGATGAGGCTCCTATTTCCTGGATCACACACGTCAAGCTCTGCAAAAATGAGCATACCCTGGTGGTTCAATGCCGTATTTCACAGCCCTCTCTTGACCGTGCTGATATAAATATTTCAGAGACCTGCACACAACTGTTTGAGTTAGGTCTAGGTCACCAAGAAGCCAATGGTTCGGACAGATTCATTAATTTAGCAAAGCAATTAGCAGGAGCTGGTGCAGCTCAGGACATCCCAGTGAACAGCAGGAGCAAGATACCCACCGACAAGGTGTAAGGAAAACCTTGCCAGCCACCACATCACCCATACAGGCTGTGGGACAGGCCCTGAGCCAAAGGGATCCTTCCTGCCATTACCTTCTCTTCCCAGCTTTAAAAACCTCTTCTTGGCTTAGAGCAATGCTGGCTTATTTGGCTACTGAAATCTCTTGAAAGACAAAGACTGGCAATGGAACTGGACCAAGTTATTCCCCATCCTGAGTCCTGCTCTTCCCAAAACCACAGCAAGTCCTTTGCAGCAGCTTCTGAAATTACCTCCCCAGCATGAACGTTTTCTTTGAAAACTGTGTTTCTATATGTGCAAAGCTTTCTTTGTGCAGCAAATGAGAGGGGGGAAGACCTGAGACAAGGATGAACAGCAAAGATATCTACCGACGGAGGAAGAAGCCCAAGGATCCTCAGAAGCTGCAGCCATAGATATTTAAATGCTAAGCAGTGCATCATTGGCTCCCCACTGAACATAAGATGGTTTCATCTTTGCAGAAGCAGCAACAAGAGCCTGCTCACATCAACTTCACTCTGGCAGTCTGATCAACAGCGACAGTCATGGCTTCTTATTTTTTAACTGCAATATAATTAGGCACTTAGGAAAATTACTCTGAACAGAACAAGTGCTATAGAGTAGCTGCAGGTATCAGCACAGAGCTCTGCAAGCTGGAAGTTTAACCACAGCTGAAGGTACAGGCCAGCTGAGCTCCTGTAAGGCATGCTCTGCCCGGCTAGATGCTGAGACATGCTGTCCAAACCTGAGAGAGATCCAACGCTGCAACATTTCAATTGCCTATGTAAGACTTTGCTCCATTTCTCCAGTCTTCAGGGAGCTGCTCTAGACCAAAGGAGGCCTTTCTGTGCCCCACTGTTGGCTCCTCTCAAATGGAAAGAATGAGGAGTAGACTGTAAATACTTTGATAGTTTGGGCAGATGAAGTTCTCACTTGGTCCATCTGGATTTGGAAACTGGACACATTAATTCCCAACTTCATACTGTCAGCTGAGAAACCTGCCAGTTTCTGCCATGTCAGGAAGCTGGAAAGCACTGCTGCCACAGAAGTAACAGAGCCCCTTCGCAGAGGCACTGCGTAGTCCGGGCTCCCCACAGTGCTGGTCGTGGCTGAGAAAGAGATGATTAACCTCCTTTTTCTTTCCCAGTTAAATCCTTGCCTCTTATATCCTTTTTCTTAATCTTCACAGCAATGTCTTCCCCAAGGAGCTACTTCTGACCCTAATTTCAGGTGAAAAATCTGCTGGTCAGTGATATAACTAGACAGTCAGAGCAATCCAGCTTTCAGTCATCATCAGGAATGCTAAACAAAGCAGAGGGGAATCAAGGTCCCCAAATAACAGAAGTAGGTAATTCCCAGGAAACTAAGCATTCACATGCTCTAGGATGTTGCATGGCAGATATGAGGTCACCCAGAAATGCGGAAAAAATGCTTTTATATACAGAACCCCCAAGAAAACTGTCAAATTGACAGAGACGACCATCAACACCAATCCTTCCATTCATCTCTGCCATCCCAAAGACTAAAGATCAGCCTTTGGTTGCCATAACCATCTGGCAAGACCACCTTGAAAAGTGGTAGGGTGTTTCTGTGTGCCGACAGACTGACCTCCACACACTTGGCAGAGCTTTATGTAAGCAGCAACAAAAGCAAGTCACCTCTGCTATGTTTCTCCCGAGGGTTTCAAACTCACAAAAGTACTATCAGCTGGTAAAAGTGCATTGAGAAATCAAAAAGACATCAGAAGAAGCACAACTTCAAAAAAATTCTGCCTGTGGTGGAACAGTTACCTGACCACAAGAAATGATCTGACTACAGGTGTGAACATCCATTCAGAGGACATTGCAATCCCACTCATTAAAACCCAAGTAGCCTGCAAGTTTCTATGGATGCCAACCAAGAACAGAACAAAAAACCCTGCAGATTTCTTCATCTCTTCATCTTTTGCTCAGACGATACCAAGAAAAGTAAAATAATAGAGGTGCTGGAAGACTTTCCAAGGCACATATATCCTTTCTGTCTAACCCAGCTACGCCTGGTGCATTATTTAGTGCCAAGTGAGAAAGAAGCAATGCCTAACAAAGTGTTAAAGGGCTTTGTGAAGTTTCACCAACCTTTCCACAGCCCATCAGCTTCCCAGCTGGCTGGCAGAAGAGACAACTGATCTCCTTGCTTCCAGATTACAGGCGGCAGAGCTCTTAGGGTAACTGTCTCTCTGTGTTTGCATCCAGCACCTCCAGCAGCTTGAAGCATGCTCAAAGTGCAAGAAAGCACTTGATCAAAATCCAGCTCACATTGTAGGCAGCGGGGGAACAACCGCACAAGGCAGCGTTACATATACAATAACAATTTAATTTGGTGGAGGGATTTGACAGGTTACAGGTTGATGACACTGCTGCAGTCTCGGCGGAAATGCGGTTTGATGCAATTAGCAACAGGGAACTAGAAAAACAGGCAAGTAAAACAGGAAATACATGTATAAAAGATGAGCAACTGCAGGACTGGACAGAAGCATAAAAATCCTGTGTTGAGTTCAGAACAGGAACAAGATGAAACAGGAGTGTGACAGGGGGAAACGCAACTCTGAGCTCCTTTCCACTATTCAAAATTGAAGATTCAGACTTTAAATCAAAACATTTGCTTCCCCGGGAGAGTCTGGCCCCATTTGATTCAGGAATACAATGGAAGATGGTGTGGGGGCATCCTGGAGAGGCAGGCAGCAGAATGCAAACTTCTGAGCATTGTGCTGTGGTTCGCTTTGGCCTGTGCTGAGCACAGAGCAGCCAGCCCAGCCAGGACTCTGCTTGGCTATGGGCGAGTGAAATGACATCAGAAGACGCAGAACCACCACATGAGCCATGCTGCCACCTCGTCCGCCTCTGCTAAAGGGCCAAAAGGCACATCCCTCATGCAGCCATGCTGGCTGCTTCCTTCACCCTGTGGGTCAGCTCCCTCCCCAGCACGGACCTGTGCTAGCAAGGGGGGAACCCTCGACGTCAGAGGCTGCAGGGATGGGCTTATACTGGTAGCAGGTTCCCCAGCCTTGCTGAGGGTATCCACATGCTAAAAGTGCAAGTCACAGTCCACACACAAGATTTTGTCTCAGAGAAATCCAGAGGAGACAAAATCCCAGGCTGGCAGGGGAAGATCAAGGATGACTCCTCTTTCTACACAAATCTGCACACACACCTGAAATGAGGATCCGTAGCAGCTAGACAATGAGGCAGGCCATCATTTAAGCCTTTTACAAAACTAATTTAAATTCTTCTCCTCCTCTGCGAACACTGACAAGCTCCCCACTTCCACAAGCCCTTCACTGCACACACCCAGTGAGGAATTGTTACAAAAATAAAGCAGAACAAGACACCCAAGCAATGGAGAAAGTGCTTCTGAACAAAACCGGCAGCGACGTTTATAATGACTGCAAGTATATACATATTCTGCTTCAACAAGGGTGGTGGGGATCTGCCAGTCTGAATGCTGAGCAGGGACACCACACGCCTTCCATACATAATGGTACAAAAATAGAATATAAGTATATACCACAGCTTTGTGAAATTTAGGGGCTTTTGCTAGACATTTATGTTATACAAAGATTTACATTTGGAAAAGTCGTTCTGCTATATCTGGCAGAAATTTCACAACAAATGGATCCCATATTTATTCATTCAATGATAATACTGAGCACGGGATAAAGCTCTTTTAAATTCAGAGCACTTTATAAAAATTAATTACTACTTAGTTCACCCTTCTGAGGTGGGAAGGTATTACACCTGCATATACATGAGGACACCAAAGCACAAATGGATTAAATACCTTGTTCAAGACCCCAGAGGCAGGCTTACTGATCACCCTAATTGCTGAAATATGTGTGCACACATGCATCTGTGTGCATGTTTAAATTGTCTTATCCTCTCCAGAGCCCTTCTTCCCAGCACACAGGCTTTTGCAGTGAAGCCACCCTGCTCAGTCGGTGTTTTCTCACTGTACGTGTCCCATACGTGTCTAATGAAAGGGAAAAAAAGGGAAGAGGGTTTTTTTTTGTGGGATGTATGGATAGGGATAAAACCTGGATTTCAAACAGCCAAGGAACAGAAAACCCATTGTTAAAAAGCTGTGCAGTGTTACATTGACAGTTCTTAATCAGATTGCCACTGAGCAGCATTTCACCAGCCCACACTGGAGCACAGCAGACCTGGGATACCACGTGCCAACAAATGTTATAAAATCTGTCCCTTGACAAGCGTACAAAGAGAGAAAGGGCTTCTGAGCTAGTGACAGAGACGCATCACCACCTGCAATGTGACTGGCAGCCCACTCGACCTGCTCCAGTGAACTGAAAGCACTTCAGCCACCACTCCCATCGCCAGCTGGTTTGGTGATGGTGTCCTGTCCCTGTGTTGGGTCATTGGGTCTGAAACTCTTTGTGTGAACACCAGCAAAAGCATGCATTGTCATGGGAACAAACAGGTATTTTGAGTTTCTGCAAGGCTTCTGTCGGTGCTGTCAGGTGGGGTTTCAGAGGGATGCTATAATTAGTTATCAGCGTGTTACCTGGATGGATGGTTTGCCACTGATGTGTGGGGTAAAACACTTCCAGGTCTTCAGGATCAGCATCATCTTCTGTTATCGGCTCTTTCCTGCTGTCATCTTTTATGTCGCTCTCTTCTATTTTTGTAAGGGCAAACTCCTTTCGGATAGAAGAGATTCAGCTCATTAGCAATTGCATCTGGGTAATTTAGTGCTGGCTGAGAATACAAAATTTTTTCCCTCGCCAGCAGATTTTTTTTTTTTTGACATCCGAGATTCTTTCCACATGGTTAAATTTAGATTTAAAGTATATTAAAGGTTAAACATGCATAACTAGCATGACATTTGTGCTGAACAAAGCAACGCAGCTTATTTCCTATTCCAGTGCAGGCTGCAGGTTTAAAACAAGCTTTTGCAGAGCCTCACCTATATTACAGTCAGAGCCAGAAGCCCTGACTATTATTAGGGTTGTGTAATGTTATAAGACCCTGTTTTCCCTTGCCTAAAAATATGTCAAACTTTTAACTTTTTCAGCTCAAACTTTCCACACGAGCGAAACGCCTCAAGCACTGGTTGTTGTGGTTTTTCTTTTTTTCTTAAATGCACTTATTTCAGGCTTGGAGAAGATTTCAGCTAAAATAGTTCAGCTATTTCCAAAATAGGACATGAGGAAAACACACCGAATTGCCCACACGATAAAAGTGCGAGCATCCTTTTCTCCACCCCTTCCCAGTGTCCTCCAAGTCTCTTAAAACAATGAGGCAGCAATTTAATCACCACCTACGTTGTGAGTGCAGCATGCGAATGGCAGAGGTGTGGTAGATCAAGCTAGCACAAGTGGTATGACATTACGGAAAGAAAAAAATGAGGATGAAAAGCAGGAAAAAAATCCTTGCTGTGAGGGAAACCTCGCTGTTCACTGGAAAGTCTCCCTAGGGAGCTGGTGGGAGTCATGTAAAACTGCAAGGGATAGAATTACTGAGAGTACATAGTAAGTAACGACCTTGTACTATCTCACACCAGGCTATTAACTGCTCGGGAAAGCAGGTCTTTGCTATTCTGGTTTTCACAGGCACAGATAAGCTGGTCCAGGCTAATCATCCAGACAGCTCAGTTTCTGTTGATGGGAGTATTATCAGATTCTGATATTGCCAAGAACACCACCACTGAATAATTTCAAATAACCCGCCTATAGAGAAAGATTATTTCTAACTGCTAGCAATCAGAGTAAGAGTTCATGAAGTGTTTTGATATTAATCTTAGAATATTTTCACAGGGGAAAAAAAAGAAGTCAATTAAGAGGTGAACTGGAAATTTTAGGCCATGTTCTGCCTTCATTTCCACTTCTTGGAAAAAAATGTGTGCATATTTTCTTGCAGAATCTGAGTGCTCTGCATATAAATATCCATTATCCAGCCTAGCAGAGTGTTTCTGAGCAAGAAAAATGTCAGCCTGAGCAAAACACATACAATTAGCAGAGAGAGTGGTAACATGTGAAGATGGTTAGCAAACCTATAGAATGTTTTTATTTTATCTGTCAAAAGGCATTGAAATTTTGGAAATACACTGGAAAACAGAGCTTAAATCCTGCTTTCACTTAGTGCATCAGAGGCTTGAAATCGTTAAAATTATGACAAATGGTTAAAATTCAGTAACAATCATAAGCATAAAAAGCCAGGTTCTACTGATGAAAATCAATGTTAACATTTTCTGAGCCATGACACAACAGGACTAACATAGATGAGTCAGAGCAGTTATTCCATAGTTTATTTACACTACTATATTATTATCCAGGAGGGACTTAACAATACAGGCCATTGTAAATTTACCAACAGTCCTCCAAGTGTTCTATCTGTTGAAACACATAACGGAGATGGCTGATGTTTACCAGCTCTGTTCATGCCGTGGTCTAAATGCTCAGTAAGGATAAAAGGATGTGACTTGGTTCATTTAAATGTTACTGCCACTGCTTGGCCCACAAGTGCTTTGCAATACCCTGTTTTCATTAGTACTTCTGGAAAAAATGGGCAACAACACACAAGCAAGTCTTCATTTAAGCAGAAATTAAGTAGAATCTTTTTTGTTTGTTTGTTTTCGTAATTAAAACAGTAGAAAGAAAGATATTTTCTAAAGAACAATGGAAATTTCCTTAAAGGCAAAAAGTCTTCTTGCTTTATCAGTGTGAAATCAACTGCAATAAGCTGAAAAGCCTCAGCAAGGAGGGTCTGAGACAAGCTGCAGTCTGTTTGCAATGAAGGAGAGACACGGCCACCATGGAGCCATTGTAGGAGGAGTGCAGGAGAAGGTGATGGAAGAGTTAACCACCCATCGCCTTAACCCTGCCTGAACCCCAGTGTCAGGCTGCCTGCCAAGGAGGGCACTTATCACTGGGTGGCTGTCCCAGGTCTTGTTCTCCAGCTGGGATGTCTGTGCTCCATCTCCAGCCTCCTCACCTTCCTCCCTGAAATAAAGATGAATTATCTCATTGTTATGTGAGTCCAGGTGGGCCCAGGGCACTGGCCTACAGTGCTTATACTGTAATCTGTGCCTCGTATTTGCTGACAGCGCAGCCCCCAGACAGCTACACCACACACCCAACAGACCAGCAAGCTGCAGAGCAAAGGCAGGAGCGAGCCTCCAGAGACATTGTGGGGTCAGTGATCCGTGTTGCTGGGAAATCCCCTGTTTTAAGCCACAGTATCAATTCAACTATAAAACCACCACACCCTACTGCTCCTGCTTCCTCAAGGAAGCTTTCCAGATCTGCTAATCTAGCAGGAGCTCCACCTGGGGCTCAGCAGAAGAATCCAAACCAGGGGAAGTTTTGCACACCTGTACCAGTGCAAAGGGGAAGACTGCGTCCACCTACCTCAGCTGCAGCTTCAACATTACACTGCAACTAGCAAAATCCATGCACATGGGATGCAAGGACCTGGAAGGATGCTGGATGCTCTTCTAAGCCTGACTCACTTGTGGTGACTCAAAAAAGGCACAGCTAGGAACTAATCGAGGCCATCTCTTCTGCTCTTCTTGCCACTAGACAACATAATTAGCTTTGCATCTTGCCACAGGGGGAACGTGACAACTCCAAATAGAAAATGTGACATCTAGCAAATAAGAGAGTTGCCCAAATTGCACTGTTACTGTTGCACTCCCTCTGGATTGAGCATATTCTGGATTTCCTGGGGTGGGACAAGCAGTTTTAAGAAAGAATCCCTTCTGAAATGTTGTTACTGAGGACTCATTGTTGAGGAGAAGTGATTCACCAATCCTACTGCAAAACCCTACTTGGCCCTAGAGAGAATCAGGTAAGGCTGTGGCCCCACCTGAGACTCCAGTGGGTGGACAGCCCTTTGTGAGTGCAGCTCGCAGCTGGAGCAGCCAACACTTACAGGAACTCTGTCGCTCAGGCTTGACTGGGAAAACACGGCCGAAACCACCAAGACCAGCAGGTTGAATTTGGCAGCGGTAGAGAGGAGACCAGCCCAGTGAGACATTGCCAACAGCCTGAAATTCAAAGGAAAACAAAACCAACAATATTTTAGTCCATGTTTTCACAGGTTTCAGCATTCTTTACACAACATTTTGCAATGCAGCACAGGTTCAGGGGTGCGACACCGCAGGAAACAGAACACTTGGAGGTGTTAGCACACGGGTCCCATCAGGGGCAGCCGATAGCAAGGGCTGCCAATTTTGCTGCTAATGGAGTTTATGGCAGGTAAAGACAAAGTAGCTTATACTGACCCCTCAGGGGCTTATATCTCTCCTGAAAATATGAAGACACCTGCAAGTCTTGTTTAAAATCACTGTATTAGCGCCATGGGTGAAAACTGCAGAGAAAAATAAAAATCAGTGCAATACTGAAAAGGTTTTTATGCCTGTGCTGCATTTTAAGCACAGAAGTAGCTGTGTTAATTTAAATTAAACAACTAGCAGCCATCAAAAAATCAGGAGTTCATCTGAATCCATAGGTAGGTTTTTCTTGAGGAAAACAACATTTTGCAGAGGTCAGCAAGGTTTACTTGTTGGTTCCTGCAGCACAAGGCTTTCCCCGCTGCCCAGAGCACCGGCTCACCCGAACTGTGAGCCCAGGAGCCAGCTCTGCCCGCACTTGCAGTGGACCACAAAGTAGTCTTGGGGCATACAGCAACCCCAACCGACCACAGACCAGCTACTGAACAAGAAAGGGGGGAAAGAAAAAAAAAAAAGAAGGGTCCTGCTCTTGTGGCTGCCAGTCACCCTGTTACAGAGCTCACCTCCCTACCACTACGTGTGTAACCATGCTCACGCACACACGTGTCCCCGCTGCCTCACAACACGAGGCTTTGAATCCACCTACGGCGCTCAGCTCGCTGCTTCTCACGCTGGGTTAGGGAACGGAGCAGCCTGCCAGCACACAGGCTGGAGAAGCGTTTCCTTTGATTGGCTCTAAATTTACATGCTGCTAAATTAAACTAAATGAGGTCTTTTGAAAGAAGATGGGACTGATTAGTTCCGTTCAAACACTCCTTCATTACTCATCCCTCCATCAAGTCTGCCCTACTCCTATCCAGGTTTTAAAGAATTTCCTCCCATATATGCAGTCCTAAATATCGTTCTTTCTGTATTTGTTGTCCATCAGGATGTCACATCACATCGCAGATTTTTTCTTTCCTTGAAGCAACCATCTTCTATTCCACAAAGCAGAAAATACCCTCACAGGCACACCCAACACCAACTCACACCACCAAAAGACCTCTGCCCCCAACAGACTTCAGGGATACGGAGGGAGTGGAGTCCTCCCCTTTCACCCCTTTACTGTTACACTGTCTCTGTTAGGTTACTTATTCCTATTCCTGCTTGGTTATTGCTTTAGCCAATAAAAAATATAAAAGGCAAAACACCACATCACACTGGTCAGTGGTGAACATCTAGAGAAAAGTTGCTGAGCAGGGAGCACAAATAGTGCTGCAATATATTCTGATGCTAGTCTGATGCACTGAAAGCAGCACCTGGCATTTCTGACCTGGTGCTTGATATCCTCCTTCAGTGTCATCCTCTTTTCTAAAAGGTCAAAGAACAACCTCAAGGACTCACAAGCCCTTATTAAACTACAGTTGGAGTAGAAGAAAAGGTCTCCATTTTCAGAAAGCAGACAAAGACAACCTGTGGCTAAAAGCCTCCATGTCTCTCTTGGGGAGATCTAGGCTTCTGAGCTGGAAAACCAGAGCAAAATTCATGGGCTCAACCTCCATCTGCTCCCAGAAGATCAACGTACCCTTCTGGCCAATGCTACAGTCAGGACTTCACTAAGACTGACCACAACACACAGTCCTCAACTCACCTCAGAACAAACTGCAGCTTTTTACATAAGAAACAGTTTCTTGGGGTTGGGGTTTTTTTAGTTAAAAAAACAAGTGGCGAAACAGGGATAATGAAAAGCAGATGTATCCCTAAAACTTTACCTGTAAGCCTGGAAATAAAAAGAGAAGAAAAGAAAGAAATCCAACAAAGCAGCAGCTGAAAGAAAACGCACACTCCCATAAAAATAGAGCTCACGTGTACAGAGAAGGCTGGTAGCAAATGACAGTACAGCCTCTTTAAAGCCTACAACCTCATGCCTGCCTGGAAGATGACATCTGCACAACAATTAGCAGTTTGCTTAGGTCCCAGGTAGGCAGGAGAAGCTAACATGTGAAACATGGGGGTTTGAAGATCCTGGAGAGAAGCCTGCACAGGCTGACATCTCGTTACAAGACAGACGTACAGGGATGGCATGAGAGGATTTCCAAACCAAATGTTATGTGAATACAAAGCATTTTTAGAAACGATCCTTGCAGCTTGCAAAGCAGAAAGGGTGGTAGCTGTGACCCCACCTGCAGGGGGAGCATTTGCTCTGACTGAAGGACATATTATTTTGGGTCCAGCAGCACCCACGTTCAGCTGCAGCTGGTCAGCACCAGAACCACTACAGGAGGACCACAAATTCCCCTTGTGCGAAGTGGGGTGCTGGGTTTTTTTCCAATACTCCTTGTATGTCAAAGAAAATCAGGTACTAAGGAATGAGCAAAGTATCACACTCAAAGAAGCCTCTGTTCCTGGCAGGTCCTCCTGTCAGAGCAGGCCATGTTCTCAGCTTCGCAGCGCAGGCAGGTTCTGCTCCGCAGCTCCAGAAAACCCTCTCTGCACCAGCGGGCACAGAAACACTAGCATTGCCATTATGTTCTCTATTAGCAGGGGCATTTTTACTGATTTTACTAGCTGTGCATCAGCAAGTGCTGCACAGCCCCGTGAAGGTGGTTGCCATAGCCATAGGTGACAGTTCAAATCAAGTCAGTGAGAGGAACATATTTCATTAACACGTTCTGCTGCTGGGTACGCACCATTCTTTCACATCCTAACTCAAACCCCACGCTGCGTGTACTGTGCCACTCCAATAAATCCATCTGAAGCCTCTTCTGATTTATGATCCGCTGCTCCAGGAGAGCACACAGACATCCCGGAGAGCTCCCCAGCCCCCTCACTAGGCTCTGGTTATATGGCCAACTGGAAGCAATAACCATAAGCTAAACCTTGATCTCATCTGGGGGTCAAGGGAGCAGTACAGGAATTACAGGTCTTGCAAAATTGTCTGCAAATGTACTAGTTCAGGCCAGGTATCTGTCCACCCACCCTTCAGTGAGATGGCCGGTGGTAACAAAAGTGCCAACAGCACGTTGTGTGTCTATGAGCACAAATAATTCACAAAGCTCCCCTGGTTGAGCATAGGGCAGTGCTGAAAGAACAATCAAACGATCAAAGACATCAAAGAACACAGCCCAGACACCCTCCAGCTGAACTGGCAGCACGAATACTTCCAAGCACTCAAAGCCTCTTAGGCTGAAGCCAAAGTTTGATGGGCAATAACAGTTAAGGAAACTATTTTAAAGATAGATGTGTAAATTGGGATGTCTGATTGAAGAGGTGCACTCAGGACACATACTGCAATCAGCTCCGAGTCAAGATCCCTGTTCAAACACAATGTCATTTTAATGACACTGGCATCTATGGCCGAAACCAGCATGACGTGCTAAGTGATGTACAATGCAATGGAGAAAGAAAAAGAAATTTAGCTGTCCTGACCTGAAATTTTCTTCCCCTGAGCAACAGGGTCCCCAGGTTTGTAATGAGCACCCATTTTTGCTGACTTGCTACTGAAGAGCGGAGCAGTGTCAGTCAGATGCCTTGGAAACATCCTGTGGCTGGCAGTCCTGAGGATGACGATGACTGTGCAGCTACACCGACAGGGGAAAGAGGAGGTCTTAATCTGAAATTCAGCCTCTTCGTAAAAGAGGAAACAGCTGGTGGACAAACAGAGGATTGCTAGGAGGCCACAGGACACTCTGCCCTTCCCTGTTCATTACAGTCAGGTCTGCACAACCCTTTGCTTTCAAAGAGATGAGCAGGACCAACCTGCAAATATCATCATCTTCTCTTCTTCCCAGAGGCACAGAGACATGAGCTCCCATTGAGTACAAAACACGCTAAGAAAAGCCAGCCTGGAAATACTCATGTGTTGGGGGACATGTGCCCAGATGACCACATGTGTGCTGAGCAGGTGTCAGTCCCGAAGACCGGCTTCAGCTCTCCCTGCCTTGACTCTACTTGGACATTGCACCGTGGCTGCTGGTATGAGGCACGGTATTTCTTGATTTCCTCTGGAAATGGGAGCCATGAGTAGACAAACTGCTCCTATTAAAACCAAATGGCCCTCATGAGACAGAGCATAGGTCCTGTTCTTCCAAACACATCTACCCAGAGATGGTTACCTGCAGCACTTTTAACATGGAGAATCCAGCAGGAATATACGAGCCAAGTGGCAACATGCTGCAAAAACCACAACGAGCTACCAAACCTTCCACAATGTGAGCGTTCCCCACCGCCTTCACTAAGAACAGGACTTGTGAGTCTCTGATACCCCTTTTCCCCTCTTAAAAGCCGTCTTCACCTTCTTTGCATGCTTTTCCTTCCCTGTGACAAGGCCTAGCAATTAGTTGTACTTGCCCTAGGTGCTGTGCCTAGGTGAGCTGCTGTGGCTCTGCACAGCTGATCGACAGGCACCTGGGAAGCACCAGGGACCTCCTGCTCTGTGCGTCTGTCTGAGCTGCCACAGACAGGTCCTGCAGCATTTCCAAAAGGAGGCAGGAGTGAAATTTCAACTTCATTAAAGCCAATGCTAAAACTACAAAGATCCTGGAAGAGACCTGAACACACCTGACTGATCAAAGAACTGGATCTGAATAAAAATTAATAAAGACAGAATAAAATAATAATAACCAACCTAACACCTTATGCAGAGAAGAAGAGTCCTGAATGACAAAACCAAACATAAAGAGAAGCTTCCTTCCAGGACCCATGCAGTGTTCCTGATGGAGCCCCAATTTGTTTGTCCTTGATTCTCCCAGGACAGACTGGGCAGAAACAGACTTCTGGCTCTGCACAGCCTCGTTCAAGGTCTGAGGTTTCACCTGCTTCTGCCGCGCTCGGGA